AAACTTAATTTAAAAATATATTTGAATGAGCAAAATATGCAGCTATAATTATTTTTTATGAACACCAAACACGTGAAAAGCAACACAAATTCGTAGAAAATATAACTCTTATTTTTAAGCCATTATTGACTCTGAAAAAAATTGTTTTTGAAAATGATGACGTAATAGTGTTTTCAAATGTATTAAAATGCACGATAACACATTACTGTCATGGTCATAGACGCAACTATTGGGGGGCGCAATAGGGTTTTTAGCACCCCAGAATTCAAATGTAGCACTCCTGTTCTTTTTCAGATCTATATAATCTATAGTAATTACAGTTAAATACCAATTAATTTTATTTTCAGCAATTTCAGCACCCCTAATATTTGGGCTCTAGTTGCACCCATGGTCATGGTAAGCTATAAGAGATGATAATTCTTCCTAGGTATTTTTATCTAATTAATTATTATAAATCATTTTAATATATGTAAACTATGAATTATTATCAGTTAATATACGTCAATATAATATCCAATCAAATTTGTAAAAACCATTGAAGATAATCATTAGTGGCGTGGCGATATGGGTAATCGAGAGGCGGTCGCCTCGCCGTTATTTGAGGGGTGGGTGGCCCAACAATGACCCGACAAAAGGTACTTGCTTCTGAAAATTGTTGAGTTCCTCACGCCACTGATACTCATTCACAATAAAAATTTCATACATTCCAAATTCTAATCAATGATTGATATTAACGATAAATAGTATATATTTTTTTCTGTTACTATTATTTTATGAACAAATGTCAGGTTACTACTAATACTAATGGTCGTTAATATTAATTTTGCAAAGACTCAGAATGAATTTATCGTACTTACATATTAAATATATTAACATGATATTTTATGGACTTATTCAAAATTTAATCAGAAAAATCAATGCTTTTAAAAATATAAAATGAAATACAATATAACATAGAGAATTATGGACATACAAGGACTTATTAGATTATTTATGGAAAAGAGAGCTTAGTATATTTAGATAATAATTATTTTAATTACTACCTATTTATTTACTATCTGGAATTTTGGCAATGAGACGAGATTTGAACCTCCAAACTCCACCTCTTTAACCTATGCCACTGTAGAAATCCAAGTAAGTTTGTTAGATTAGGTTTTCAATTTTTAATTGTATGGGAAATCAGAAAGGTTTAAATAAACATTTCAATAAATAATCTGATCGTCTACAGGGCACTTATAATTTATACCTATTTTAGTTTTTTTCATTTTAAGTTCATGCATTACAGGTTTGATACATATATAATATATTGGTTTAAAAGAGTACAACCCACAAAAAAGTATGCATATGATTTGACTAGAGTCAGTTTTGACTAAAAAGTACTTAATAAATTATACCTAAACAATTACAAGAAAAAGACCCATAGGAAGACTGAAAATGAGATTGTAAGATGTAGCGGAAGAAGGACGTAGAAGAACCAAGAGGAGGAAGTGAAGGCACGAGCAGCAGACCGAGAGAGATGGAAAGCTAGATGTATGATGGGATGGTCCTAGAGGCCGCAAACACCTCCAAAAAAAAAAAAAATTTAATTCTATCAATTTACATTCGACGGAGAAACGTATTGCTATATTAGAACCCTTTGAAGTTTTTACTAATCGAGTGATATAAAACATGATTAGATGGCAATGACGTCCATCTTTAAAAATTCAGGGACGGGACACATATTACCGGTGCCCAAGGTCGGACTGACAGTATGGGTAGGTGGGCATACTCACCCAGGCCCTCCAGAAATTGTATGTTTGGACTTAGGTGAAGTTAGTTATACCACAAATTAACTTAAACCCACTCAGCCCTTCAGTCCGGCCCTACCGGTGCCTCTTGGCGATCGTTATCGATAAATTTATAATTAATATCTACGATTCCTAGAATTCGCTCTCCCGTGGTTATGTTTTCTCCGCAAGAGATGAGATTAGTTAACAAAATAAATTGAATATATATTTAGTATAAATCAATAATAATTTTTTATAAATAAATGTATAATAGACGCGGTAAATTCAGGGAATGACATTGATTGATAAATTCGCATCAATTTAGATCAAATCGGTATTTATACGTACATTTTGTCTTTGAACCGTATCATTATTCGTTTGAAATAAACCAAGGTTCCTATTCGCTAATCGAATTGATGATAGTAGACTCTATTAAGTAGAGGTTATTGAATTTTTGCAAAACACAATATCGGAATTGAAATTCTGTACATTGGAGTATGATTTATTCTCATTCAAACATATTCTTTATTATTAACTTAATTTATATTGCAATTAAATTAAACAATTTGAAAATGTCCGTATTAATATTGTTGTTTTACACGGGCATACTTTTGTCTGCTAAAAATGTAAGTATTATAGTATCGGAGATATCTGTAATTAACAGATGAAACATATTTTATATATTAATTATAAAGATAGTTGGCGCTGTAGTTTGTACAAAATAATATGAAAGATGATTATAGGTATATTTATAAGTCGGTTGTGTAAGGTAATTAACTTAATAGACTCAATAGAGTTGATTGTTTTATTTTTTGAAATATGCAGTAGTCAGTGGATTACAAAAAATGAGATAGAAATAAAAAAGTCTAGTAATAAATTGATTATTTAAATCCATTTATATTACATAAAAATATTACAAAATATACAAAGAGATTATCTATACCTTCCAAAAGAAAACTCATATTGAATGTAGAAAGCTACAAATTTACGAATGCAAATAAATTATTATAATATAGTCAGGTAAAAAAAAAAAAAATATTATAGGTACCAGTCACTTAAGTTATTATTTTTTGAGTTATGGTAAACAGTTATATTGTTTTTAACTGCAATTTTTCCTCCAATTATTTGGAAAACTGTTGAGAAATTTAAAAATTAACCCCAAAAAAGTACCAAGTAGACACCATTTCTGATCATATACAGGTACATCCATAATTATAATGAATGGAACATACCTTCTGGTCGAAATATTGAATAGACAAAAACAAAAAAAATTAAATTAAAATACTGAATACTTTCATGAATATTTAGCTTAACAATTACAGAGATCTATTACTGCATTTAATAATTAATAACCTAAAGAAACATTAGTGATATTCAACCGCATACATTCATAATTTTATACAACTGCTACAGTGCAGACAAACAACAATAATTAACAAAAAAAAAATGTTTATAAACCCATATCAAAATACTGTTCATGAGTACAGATTTCAACAATTATCATAAAATAAATAAAGTTTTCGGCATAAATATTGTCAGTGTATAATAATGTCAAATTTCCAAGATTCTAGAGAAAATATTATAACACTAAAGGGAGGATTACTTTTTGTTCAATATTTTAATCACCATTCTCTCAAAGCTTGGAAAACCAGCAACAGTTGAATTCCTTTAAATACACTAATATAGTGCCATTTAGTATACTTTGGAAGAGTACAGAGAAAACATTTAAAAACAAGTCAGTAATGGTCAGGAAAAATATAAAATTATTTTTGAACTAGTTTTATTAATCATCATAATATGTTAAATTGAAATTAAAATCACAACCTTAAATACATTTGAAATATAGAAAAAAAAAGTTATGAAAATAAAAACAGCAAATTTAAAATTAATAAAAAAAAAAAAAAAAAATCTGCCACGAGAGTTTGGAGTGTTTTCCTGTACAATTATTATTTTATGGCACAACACAGCGTAAAAAAAAACAAAAAACAAAAATTTAAAAAATATATATACACATTTTTGTTACGTAAATGCATTACAATAAAATATTAAACATCAAGCAAACACGTAAATAACAACACTAACACTAAAAAAAATTGCACGCGGGACCTGTGATTTAGAGATAATAATTGTAGGGTGCTTAATAATTTCTGAATTTTATATTTTTTTATTTGAGCAATGCAAAAACAGAAAACAGAAATATTTTTAAATCATGGTAACGGTTTTTCTTTTTTTCTTCTAGTGCTGTTTTTTTAATTATATATGTGTGTATATATATATTAGGGAACAATTAAAAATTAACATTTTTTTTTTTAATAATTTTTTTGAAAACATGTAAATTTAAGCCTACAAAAAAAAAAAACAAGTACAAATTAACAAATACAAATGTTTTCAATTCATTTAAATTCTATTTACAAAAAAAATTTTGATGTCAAGTTGCAAATATTTCTAAAATTACTCGTAAAAGATATAGACCACTCATTCTACTCCCGTTACAATTTAAGCTTAAGAGTTACATGGAAATATTTTATACACAAAAACTTTCTTAACTAATATACAATAATTGTCTAGATTGATGAAAAAAAAATTATAAATAAAAAAATGTAAATAATAAATATATTGCACAATTTATAAAAAGTACACACGCTAATAATAATTATGTTTAATAAATTAAAGATACTATTTATATATATAATTTACATCAAAAATTAAAATATGAAAAAAAAATACAAATAAATTTTAGTTTTAATAATTTATTAACAGACTTGATAGAATACCAAAATTTAGTTATAAGCCTAATGGTAGGTAATGTTCAGATAATCTGATTTAAGTAAATATGAATAGATGCTCATAATTAAGAAAAATTTTATATATATATATATATATATATCACCTATTAAGAATAAGGTTAACCAATTAGTTTTTTTTTTTTTAATGACCTTCATATATTTAATATTACTATAAAGATAAATCACATTTATTTTGCAGTCAAAAAAGTATATCCAAAATAATAAACAATATTCAGTGAAGATAAATTGGATAAAAATGTTATACAGGTTTTAAAACGAAAAATTTGTTTATTAAGTAGAAGAACAAGAGGAATGAAAATATGTATACTTAAGATAAAGTATTACATCGTAACCCAAAAAATAGGATTTTTATATAAGTAATATTTACCACAAAATATTATTTATTAGCAATTATAAAAATTCTAATATAATACATACATAGTTTTAATTAATTGTTTATTACTTCAAATATTTTCTTTATATTTTAATTAACCATTAGGGTATGTGATTCTATAGGTGCTGCTGAGTCATACAGTGTATCCGTGTCCTGTGTTGGCTCACCTTGTAACTGACATTGATTGTTTAATGTACCAGCTCCACAATCACAAAAGAATCTATAATACAAAATATTTTCAGTAATTAATTAGATATGGTCTATCTACACAGGTTATATAAAAAATTATACATTATAATACATTTTTTTATTATTATAATATACCAACAGCAGATATAATATTATTATATATTTATTTATTTTTATTATAAAGGCTAAAATTAGTAAATTAATAGTCAATAAAACAGATTTCTTATACATTACAAACAATGAAAAATAGTATAAATATATCTAGTGTTTTGATTTAGAATAAAATATCCAATTTTTTTTATACTTTTATTGTAGTTTATTTGAAAATGTATAATTAAATGGGCTATTGGTTTTAAAAATAGAATTAATAATTTTAATATTGTTTACTAAGTGTTTTGATTTAGAATAAAATATCCAATTTTTTTTATACTTTTATTGTAGTTTATTTGAAAATGTATAATTAAATGGGCTATTGGTTTTAAAAATAGAATTAATAATTTTAATATTGTTTACTAAATTATATTACCTATATTTAGGATATATTATATTGTATATAAGTAACTGGTACAGTAAGAAAATCGAGTAATGTACACATTAACCAGGTTATTTGAATACTAACTATGCTTATTTATTGGATAAAGTAAAAATATAAAATATTATTTTTAAAATGTTTATTTGGTACATTATCTATCTTGGAGTGGATAGTGTTTTGATAAAATAAATTATAATAAAATATAAATTGTACATTATGAAAAAATGGGTGAACTGATATTGTATAGTCATTTTAAAATTCAGTAAAGTACTATCAGATTTTGAGTTCACTTGTTCGGCTTATTATTTGTTATTATTAATTATTATTATTATTAGTTGATTATTTAATATATTAAAATGACTTCTAAAAAAGAGAAATTTTATGAATTTTAATAAATAATTAATGAAAAGAATGAAAATTTGGTGCATTTAACGTAATTCAAATAATATGACATATTATCCGAAATAACATACATTTGAATGAAAAATTAATGTAAACATAAATCTTAAATTATTAAAATATGTTAATTAACATACAAGGGAAAAAATACTATAAATTATCAAATAAACTTTAGATTTACTCTGAATGACCTTATCTATTATAGCAGTTAAACATGTGTAGAAGACAAGCTTACAACATAAATATCACTGCAGTAACTTTATTATGCAAATAACATACATTACTTTATTATAAAATTGGAAACAAAGATACTAATTTTAATAGTTTAAAAGAAAAAAGAAAATAATAATTACTATAAAAAAATGATAATTTTTTTACATACCTGTCATGCCTAATGAATTCGACATCATGTCCAGCATGGCACGTTTTAATACAATTAACACAAATTGCATTTCTATCAGTCGTGTTGCAAGTCTGACAACGGTAAAAATCATGCATAGGGAATGACGTGTAAGAGGATATTTTATATAAACATTGACCATTGCATACTGCTTTTTCAACAGCATCTTGGTTACTATAAATTTTATTGCCTTAAAAAAAAGTTTGATTATTATATTATTATTACAAAAATATTAAATTAATATTATTAAATAAATAACTTACATCTAACAATAGGTTGTACACCACTGGCTAAGCAGAGTCCTCCAAAACGATTATTAAATATTTGATTACTATCTAAAGTGGCTGTTGCATTATTAGTAATTTCAACACCAGCAGCTAAACCATCAAATATCCTATTACGCCTCAATGTAGGATGGCTTTGAGTTGATATTAAAACACCAGCTTGAGCATTTCTAAATATTTCATTTTCTTCTAAATTACCTATAGTTTAAAAGTTAAATAAAGATTAAAAGATAAATATCATAAGAAAATTTTGAATTACAATTATAATACTTAAATTTATATAACTAAAATACAGTATACAAGTATTAGTTTATTACTATCTCTCCCTAAATTACCTTCCACATAGAAATTTCTAATGTGAAAATTCTCAATCAACCGCCTCTTTTTAATTATTTTATTCACATTTACTTATTGAACTATTTATTGTATAGATTATAAATTTTCATAAATAAACAACATTTTAATAAAAAATAAATAAATAAATAAAATACAAAAAGGATTATGAAAATATTTTTCATATTTTTTTTAAAAAATTCCAACACTATATCACAACTCAAACCATAATTTATAATTATATATTATACATATTTTTATTTAGATTTATAAATAATGCTAAATGTAATTATTAATTATGTATGATGTTAAAAACTTAATATGGTAGTAAGTCAAAAAAAGAATATAAAATTAATTTGATCAAAATAGACAAATACATAATTACTTTGAAATATAATATTGTTTTACGTTTTTAATAAAAAGTAATGATAAATGTTTATAAATTCAATAAAACAATATAAAATGCTTTAAAAATATACTTTCTCTTGAACCTACATTTCTTTCTCGACTACATTGTTTTAGCTATCCTTAGTGGCATATTAGGGGGAGTTCTTGGGGCTCAAAACCCACAGAAGAAAAAAAGGTTACCATTTAAGAACAAACGAAAAAATTATTGATGAACTGGTAAAAATAAGACATTTATGTTTTTATAATAAATAACTCTTCATTTGTATTTAAAATAATAATACAGTGCGTTTCCTTTTAAAGGTAACACTAAATAATTCTGTCCAGTGACATTGGATTAATATGCGGTTTTCAGGAGGGGATAGGGAATACATAAATACATATTTTTTAATGATTTTTACATTTTTAGATCTTTCCGTGTGCGCATGTGCAATACAACTTGCATTTTTTTAAATGGCAACCAGTCAAAGTTTCGATTAAAATTATTGAATTTTTCACCAATCATACTAGAATTTTATGAATTATTATGAAATTTTATTTATTATTTTTGTATCCGTAAGTTTGTAGATATTATTAAATCATTTAAATTTAATTTTGAGGAATTAATTAACCTCAATTAGACGTAAATGTTAGTTCATGTAAACTCCAAGTATCTTCTCCCGGTAAGTGTACCATCGTAAAAATACGGGCCGAGAAGTTTCCCATCTAGTAACCCACACCAAACGTTAGTTCCTCAAACTATTTGGTGATTTGTATCAGTCGTCTAATATGGATTGTGATCAGCCCAATACCGATTATTTTGTTTATTAATTATACCGTTGTTGGTAAACTTTGATTCGTCGGTCCAACAGATAAATCATAGAAAATCGGGTTTGACGTGTAATTGTATCATAAACCATGCAATAAATGTAAGTTTACGATTAGAATCACCTGGTACCAACTTTTGTACTAAATCAGGCCTACACGGGTGCAATTCATTTTTTTTCAAAATTTTTTGAACTTTTTTACAAGAAATTCCAATTTTTGAGGTTAATTAATTCCTCAAAATTAAATTTAAATGATTTAATAATATCTACAAACCTACGGATACAAAAATAATAAATAAAATTTCATAATAATTCATAAAATTCTAATATGATTGGTGAAAAATTCAATAATTTTAATCGAAACTTTGACTGGTTGCCATTTAATCGGATTTGATTTTACAGCTATGGTAAAAAGGACCAAATCGACTTAAAAAAATTTGGTCTATCTGAATTTGGTATTCAAAACACCTGTTATCATTTAAAAAAATGCAAGTTGTATTGCGCATGCGCACACGGAAAGATCTAAAAATGTAAAAATCATTAAAAAATGTGTATTTATGTATTCCCTATCCCCTCCTGAAAACTGCATATTAATCCGATGTCACTGGACAAAATTATTTAGTGTTACCTTTAAAAGAAAACACACTGTATAATAATATAAATATTAATTCATATATTTTATGTAATTTTTGTATTATAAAATCACTTATTTATGAGAAAAATTTTAAAACCCCCGCAAAAAATTTAAAAATATGCCACTGGCTATACTTGTCTTTCATCTTTTCAAGGTCTTCCAAATCTGGTTAACACATATACCAGCTACCTTCATTACCATCTCAGTTTTTCTCTCTACAATTTACTTCAACATTAGTTTTTTAGTACCTCTTAATTCATCTTTCTCATATCTCTTAAAAATAAATATATCTCAAACTAATATCACTCATAATTTTTATGGTAATTATTACTTTTAAACTATTAATGTATTTTCTTTTTTTTTAAATTGAAACCTAAAATAAAGTAAAAATATCTTACCTTTTCCACCGTTGAATATACAAATTCCTCCATCTCTACCATCATAGATTTTATTTCGTTTTAGTGTAGGATTAGAGTCTGTTTTAATCCAAACACCAGCCATTGCATTATCAAATATTTCGTTTTGTTCCAATACTCCTAATCCACCGTTATAGACTAAAACTCCACCATTCTGACCACCCCAAATTTTATTACCTTTAATTATTGGATTACTGCCAGTTCTAAAAAACAATTTAAATAATAAACAAATTAGCTAGGTAATCATGCAATTTAATTAAAAAATTATAATTAGTTATTCAAAACCATAAAAAATGTGTACATAAAAATGTAAGTAATTCAAAATTTTAATTAATATTATTTTAAAAAAACACTAAAAATCAAAAAAATTAAAACCAATACATTTAAAAAAAAAAAAACTTTAAAATAATCAAATAGTATGATAGGAAAAAACTCTAAAGGAACAATGATAGTTATGAAACCACAATTGTGTACAAGACAGTTCAAATTTTATCTATATTCATTTTGTACATAATCTATAATACTATGCGGAACAAATTAAATAATACTAGTTTTAAAAATTATTCTACTTTAACAAATTAAATATATAAAACAACTTATGCTTTTTTCGCATATATTTATTTAATATTAATCTCAAATTAAAATTTAGGTATTTCAATAAAAATCTTTATTAATCAATTAAATTAACAGATATGTGAAGTTTTAAATGATGAAATATTTACCATAACTACAAGTATTACATGATCACATAATTTATTACTTTATTAACATAATAATTTAAAATAAAAAGTACTGACCTTATTTGTACACCAGAATATAAATGATTAAATATGTCATTGTCTTCAAGTTTGCCATGTCCATTATCATAGAAATATACGCCCACTTGTTTACCAGAATGTATTCGGTTTCGGCGCAAGACTGGAGTACTACCTGTAGTGATCCAAACACCAGCTAATGTGTTTGCATATACCTCATTTTCTTCAACAAGTCCTGCGCCTTTTTCATGTACATATATTCCACCATGTTGACCATGATGAATTTTGTTATGCCTAACAATAGGATCACTATTGGTACGAATTTGAATACCAGCTAATGCATTACCTGTTAAAATAAAGAAAAGAAATATATTAATAAATATATAAATATATATATATATATATATATATATATATATTTACAAATATTTTCATACTAACCATATATATTGTTATGTTCAATCAATCCTCTGCCTTCACCAAATATATATACTCCACCTTGATGTCCATTATAAATATCATTACGTCGTATAGTTGGATTGCTGTTAGAAGTGATCCATACTCCAGCAAAATTATTACTATGAATTCGATTATCAATAAACTGACCAAGACCATTTTCATGGACATAAATTCCTCCAGTCTGACCATGATGAATTTCACATTGAACAACAGATGGATTTGCTCCAGCTTTTACCTCAAAACCAGCAATACGGTTATTGTGTATATCATTCGCTTCAAAAAATCCCTACAAAAAATATGAAAATTTAATTTAATAAGAAAAACTGAGAAAAATAAAATAGTTACCAATCCATTATCAAATGTGAAAATGCCCACATCTCTTCCATGATGTATATGATTGCGACGCATCACAGGATTAGCATGGTTTTTAACCCAAACACCAGCTAAAGCATTTCGGCAAATTTCGTTATCTTCAAATGTTCCTTGAGCATGATCAGTTACATATATACCAACATTTTCACAGTCACTAACATCACAATGGTGTATCCTAGGGTTTGCACCAGCTCCACTTACACATACAGCAGCTCCCACAACTGACGAACTTCTAATAATACAATGATCAATTGTTGGTGAACAATTTTCACCAACTTCTAAACAAAAATGTTTGTGATGTGGGACTGTAGATGTAACATTAGGAGTAAATTTCAATGTGACGTGCCCCATATAAGCATTTTTGGCACCCTCAACAAACATTACAGTTGATTCAGTTTCTCTTTCAAGAATCACTGCATCAGCAACTACACCAGAAGCAGCTCCAATTAATGTAACATCTGAATCGATTACCAAAAATTCACCTCGATAAGTTCCTGGGTGTAAAAATATTTTTGCACCACCATTTAGATGTTCATCAGCATGATCTAAAGCTGCTTGAATTGTGTCAAAATGTGGCATCCGCCTAACTGGATCTTTAGCAGTACCATTATAATGTGGTCTAACATGTAAACATCGTTTTTTTAGCTGCCTAAAACTTTCTTTCCATGGATTATGGTGTTCACTTTCTTCAAATGGAATAAAATCAAAACGACAATTTTCTGTATGAAACAGTGGTGTGTCATACTCAAATACACTCTGATATAATCTTTTCCACAGATTGTTATCATTGGCTATAGCTTGAAATCGCTTACAAACTTGAGCTATTCTACATAGATCTTGTTCATATAAATAACTGAATATGGTCAACATGACTTCATCTGGCAGTTCACATTGCAAGTAATGAGCGGCTGAATTTGAATCTGAAATTATATTTTATATATTATATGTTTTTTACAAAATAATTATTTCATTATAAATTATGAGAAATTTATAAAATTAATTTAAATAAAAATATTGATCAAAAAAAAAAATAGACAGAAAGGTAAATTTTTATACAGAATATTGGCTTATTAAGTATAATATCCACAGTATTATAGTGACAGGTATCAAAACAAATGTTAATCTTAGATTTATTTCTTTGTATTAAAAAGTAATAGTAATAATAAATAAAAAAACAAAATATAAAACAATAATTAAGTGCAGATATAAAGAACTATAAATGTATGTGAATTATATATTAATAGGCTTCCAACATGAAGTTATCTCAAGATAATATATTTTATAGAGACACACAATTAAAATATTTGCTCTGGACCTTATCCAATTTTTAGACTAATTTAAATAAATAGTATAAATGGTTATACTCGTTAGTTGCCTACTATTGGAGTACTCTCCTTTAATACTGTACAAGAAATTATGTGTTATTTAAAAAATTGAATTTAATAAATAGAAAAAAATTGTTTTTTTTTTTTTTTTTTTTTTTGTAAGAAAGTACTACCTATCATTTTAATAAATTAAAAATTATAAATTATATCTTTGGTAATACTTTGATATTGCTAACATGGTTATACCTGTATTAATAAATTTAATTGATATATGTATGATTTTATTAACAATATTGTAGTCTTTTTAAAGTAATAAAATGCATATATAGCAATAAATATTCTTATATTCAAATATTTATTCAAAAGTAAATTAAACTGCTTATTAATTTCATTAAATTTTAATTGTACATACAATATTTTCATTCACCCTGAGATATATAGTATAATTTATATTTTCTGTATTAATTATAATTTATACTACAAGTAGTAAAACAATTGTATTCTATAAGATATATTAAAACATTATTAAACTTGATATTTTTCATTGAAATATAAAATAAATAACTATAAAACAAAATAAACAGTACTATAAAATCTCAAGATAGTAATGATTAAAAGTTCATGGTTAGAAATAAAGTAAATACTGTTGTTATATTAGGATAATTTACAATTATATGAATAGATAAAAAAAGGTAAGGATACTTTTTATTAAAGATAATTATATTATCTCAGCATCATGATTCGGTTTTTTCTAGTATAAGAAATGGTTTAGGTACCAAACTTCAATAAAAAATATTATAAAAATACTAAAAAAAAATATTTGTCAAGATAATTGTAATAAAAAGCATCTTAAATATTTTAATTGCTTTAGCCTCATGTATTTTTATTATTTTCTAATTTTATAAATGAACTAACCATATTTTAAACAATCTTTTCAAAACTATATTGATTTGTTTTTAAAATGTTTGTATAAAGTACAAACGTACAAATCTTAGAGTAGGAAATAATAATGGTTTTCATCTCAATAAACCATAACATTTGATGTTAAATTTAATAAATACTTTAAATATAACCTTTAATTGAACAATTGACTTAATAAAAATAAATAAATCACTTACTGTCAGAACTAGTAATTGTACATGAGGTGTTTCTTCTAAGGCGTTTACGAGCAGGCTGAGATAAAGGAGGTATAGCAGCCGACTGCAATACCGATGCAGTAGCTGATGCTGTAGGAGATGTAGGGCGTGTGGCAGTTGGATGAATTGGAGCTGTAGCATTAAATCCAGCTGTACTAGCATCGTGTAAGTGTAAAGGTGATTTTCGACCACGTAAATCGTAAGGTGGCACATGTTGGAAGCTAGTACTAGTACTTGCGCCTCCAGGAGTTGCATAACTACCACTTGCAGCAACTAATGGTTCACATGTTACTCCAGCTTCTACTATACCACCTAAAAAATAATAATAAATGTAATCAATGATTTTCTAAATATGATAGAAAATTATTAAGACATTTATTGTTAATGATAATTATTGATTCCTAAATTAAGAAGCGAAACGTTGTAAACTTAACTTATAATGTAAAATGTAGAACAATTACACCGTTAGATTTACTAATTTTTTTTTTTTTTCTAAGATTATTTCTTCAATTACTTGGGTAAGATAAAATTGTCTATAAAGAATATTTTTGGACATAAAGAATTTCCAGCTAGTAAAAATTTAACTCTAAATTTATTTAATAGGAACTAAAAATTCATTTTAAGTTGTATTAAACATAAAAAAATTAGTTAAAAATATTAACTAGGTAGAAAAAAATTATTCAGACATCAAAGCTAAATAAATATTTTTTGAAATCATTACATTCCTTACTTTACAGAGACTCTAAAATTAAAATAATTTATTAATGTAAAATTATTAACTAAGATAAATACTTAAGGATAAATTTACATATTTACTGAGATATTTAACATACTTGAATATAATAAATATTACAAAGTATCTCAAGTAGATAGGTACACGGTTTTTAAGGAATTTAAGATTTCCATTACCAGCTGTAACATTTTAAAATATAATAAAAATCAATATACTTGTCAATTAAGATTTTATAAGATACTTAAAAATATTTAGCTCTACAAGAATTCTAATAAATCTCCGCCTATGGTAAATCTACAATATATGTCTGATTACATATACCTAAATATTTAATTCAACGCTTCAATGCTTTGAATTAAATTAGTGTTTCAAGGTCCTTAAATAATAATTTATCATAGTTTAACTATGATTTCTTTTTTTTGTATAAAACCTCCTTGAAATAATAGATGAATAAAATTAACTATTTCTTATTCAATACAAATTTCATTGTTTTCAATTACAATAAAGTTAAAATAATTTCTATTACTTGCCAATAGGTAAGTACCTACATAAAAAAGATAATAATTTAGTAGTATAGAGTATTTTTATCCCAATTTTTACCATTAGGTATAAGTAATTATATTTTCAGTTAACACATGCCGAAAACAATATATTTCCCTGAATAGTAAATCCATTTTAAGAATATAGATTCGTTGCTACTAAACATTTAAATTTTTTCAAATTTTTAATAACTTCTATAAACTAGCCCAGTAGGTGTATTAATATGAGAAAATGAGAAAAAGTGATACATACTCATACATACAGACATACATACTTTAATATTTTGTAAAATTATCATACCAGTAATGTACAAACTTATAAAATGAGTAATCTTGATATTAACAGATTACAAAGCAATACATATATATTAATATTTGTTACAGTAGGTTTTTCTGATTTAAAGAAAACCTAATTGTTAATGTAATACCATGAAGATATTCTTGTACAAGGTTATGGCTATTGTGCGACAAATAAATAAGGTCAAATGAAAAATTCCTAAGTTACATTAGACCGAACACAGATGGAACGATGAAAAAGTGGAGACAGTAGGTTGAAACAAAGATAACCTCGGTAAAGTCAAAAATTTTAAGACAGTATATTGCTCCAACGGATATCTGACTGAAATTTCTCTTTCATTCTTTTACATAACCTATATGCTACAGAAACAGTATTTATCCAAGTGTTCTTGCATCTACATGCCTCAATGAGCACCCCTGTTTTATAGAAGGAAAACAGCGCTACAATCTTATCGTTGTGAGGTGCCGAATGATAAAACAAAGATGATTGAGTGTAGGACCCTCGTTTATCAATTCGGAAAGTCGCAAACACATTTTACCTTGAGAAAGATCGCCTTTCTCGGGGATCGGGAGAATGGCTCGGTACAGCCATAGGGCACACATTAAATGAATCTGCCTTCGGGCGAACTTGAAAAAGAAAAACCGAGAGAATATACCTATATGGTACTCACCGGAATTCGACGTCCTGGATGGTATGGGCAGCCGGTTGGTGCCTTTTCTTCTCGTCCTCCGCGTATACGAACGGGTCGCGCTGAACGATGCGCTAGGCATTCTCTTTGAGGACGTTTTTCGTACAATTTTTAAAACGAGTCGCGGACAACCAGACAACGAAATCGATTAATTATACGGTATTACAACGAAATGGGGAGAAGAAAGAAATAAAGAATTTAATACACAATACGCCTAGATGAGTGTACAGCGGCAGTACCGAGACACAAAAGAAACAAAAATAAAATTTACTATAAAAATATTATTATTATAAAAATTATTACTATTATTATTAATTATATATTATTTATACGCGCTCGCGATACCAACGACGAACACATACGGACACCGCGCGAGCACACGTACACAATATCACACACATGTATGTATATAATATTATAATATGTACACGCACACACGCGCACACGTACAACGAACACGGCGCGCTCCGACTCTCGACAATAATACTATTTATTTTTACGATTATTTATGAATAATATAAAATACTTAACGTAGTACAGATGCAATAATAATATTTGGAGTACGTGCGTGCATAATATATGTGTAATTGTATTATTAATGTGCGTATGAAACGTATGTGTGCATACGCGAACGCGGCGGCGGCGACGGCGGCGGCGGCGGCGGCAGCGACGTCGACGACGGCGAGCGAACGCTTGTACACACACACACGCAATCACCGACGACTACGATGTCGTTCTCGCACACACGCACGTACCGTGTACGGTGTACTATACCACTAGTACGGCGACTACTCTGCACTACCACTCCGTACGGACTCGCTCTCCCGCACACGCGCGCGCGGTAGGGTCGGAGACGGCGGCGGCGGCGGCGGCGACGAGACAAAAGAAAGGAGGCAGCTGCTGGTCATGAACGACGACGACGTCGTACGGACATTTTTTCTCTCTCGGCGGTTCTCGCACGCGCACGCACGGGCACCAGCACGACCGCACAACTCTCTCGCGCACGCACACCACCC